GTTATCACAATACAGTGCACAGAAACCATTTTTCTGGGCCACAATGGGAAAAGCCAACATTTGCATACCAAATTCTGTTCTTCTTGCTTTTCAAAATATTTTTGACACCTATGATTGAAGTGGACAATTTTAGTGACTCTGTAAGAGATGTCCATGCAATGCCAAACCTCTAGATGGAAAGATCAAATACAAGACCATTTCTGAATAGTGGGATCTTTTATCGTAAATGTACTGACGTTATGAGGTGTAGCACATTTCACAATTGCTAAAAACTTGTCCTAAAAGAAGACAGTCAGATGCAACAGAAGGGTGCATTGCTTTGCACAAAGTGTGTTAAGGTCTCTCTACATGGTGAAATATGTCATGTCAAAAATTTGCACAGATTTGAGAATAATACAATAACAATAAAGGTCATTTCAAAACGGCCCCTCTCCAAACATCCTTTGAGAATTCCACCGTGTAGACTCACCCACACCCACACACACACACCCATGCCATTTCTCATCATAGCTGTCACAGTACTTAACATACCATCACTATGTAAAGTGTGGTGAATGCTTGGAACTTGTCAGTCATCACACTTGAACCATTACAACACATGAAAAACTGCACAGTATAAATGCTCAGAGTGCAAACATCTACTTTTTGAAACATTTGCATTAAATGACTTTCACTGAAGGAAGTCCATTTCACTGATACTCAAAGAATTAACTGCTGAAAAGCGATAAGCACAGGGTCAATACTGCTCCAGAACACACCTCTCTACTCTGATCCAGAGTGACCCAGATCTCCAAGTTAAAATGACATGTACGATATATCTAATGCACTAATTTAAGATGACTGATGTTAAATATGAAAACCAGTCCAGCACAGGATGACTACACAATTACCAGGATCCCCAATAATGCCAGGACCACTGATTAGAATGCCTGACTCAGGGCACAATAACTAGCATAGTGCTTCTACCATGACTGCAGTTACCTTGAAGTATATAGTGATTTGCTCCGACTGATAAATACAACCCCCCCCCACTCAGTAGAAAAGTAAAGAACAAAACAAAACCAGAAGTGCCCACTTTTGCACGTGTGAGAGCGAATGAAGATACTTTAACTACTTGCTACCGGGTAGAATTTGCACATCTGGGACAAGTTGCCAGGCGATTTTCAAGATTTTCCGTTTTCAAAATTCTTAAAAAGTTCATAACTTCATTTACTGAATGCTTACACCCATACGAGTGACTGTCTGGTGGCTCCTCTAATTTGACAGGCGACCTCCACTGACGTGTGAGTCTTGCAGCCAGGCCTGGAGAGGCCAGATTGTGTGGTGTTGCGTAATTTCCTTTGTTCCCCAAATTGGGACAGTGGGTTGCTGAATAGCAGTGGTGTCTTTACAAATGCAGCCAGATTAGCATGCAGTGGTACTGTATCGCTTATCAATGGAGTGCCGGAATACTTTTGTCCCCGCTGATAATCCGTGGGCTCTGAATGCTGCAGTGGTATACAGTTTCAAAACAATGACGGATTACCTCTGCTAATGCCAACTGAAAAATTGTGACAATTCCCAGCAGCTCAGTCTTTTGTTTGAATTACGGTCTTTTGTTACAAGGTCCAGCTCCTATATCCGATTTGGGGCACCCCGGCTGTGTGTGCAAACCCAAGGTACCCAGTACCAAGAACTCCAGAGGAAAGTGGTTAAAAGATGTCTTGTAATGATAGATTGTAGATCACAATGGATACCTTTTTCTTATGCCCTGGTACATCGCATATATTTCAAGGTTGTATACGTACTTACATGTACTGCCCAGTGCTTCCCGTGGCTAAACGTGAACACATGCCAATGTGCTTTAAATTTAATGTGCAAGTTGTATTGAGCGAGAAAGATCCCTAATTAGGATGGGGCAATCTGCATAGCTACAGCCCGAAAGTTGAATTCAACATTCCAATTTCATGTTTGAAGGCACAAATGCCAGTCAGGTTTTATGAGGGCATTAATTCTGTATATTGATCAAGTGAGTAACCTTTTTGGATTATTGTCTTCAGGCCAGCAAAGGTAATGTACTCTTCAGAATGGAAACTCAAAATTGACTTTGTTCTTTGAGTATCAATATATGCAAGAAACAATCACAACTATTATTATATTAATTGCAATTCATTATAAAAAATAATATAAAGCCTTATCATCTGATGTCAAGTGACATCTAAGTATAAACGACTAAATATATTACTTTTGTTCCCTGATTCCATTCATTTAAATACAATGTGGCAAAAATAATTTATTCACAAAATACCCTCATCCAATTGGCCAACTCTCACATAGGCACCATCTATTTGCCCAGCCTCTGATTGGCTATCAGTGCTGCATCTTCAGCTCCTGTCTGTTGTCCTCCTCTTGACTCATGCCAATCTGTGATTGATCGGATAGTCTGACTGGCTGGCCAGATCCTGGCTGCTGCAGGTGCAAGGCAATAGCCCCTTGTGGGAGGACAGCAGACTGGGACAGCACCTTACCCCCTTGCTCTGTGGCTACTGTTGGGGCCAGGGTGAGACCCCCAGGCAAAACCCCAGTGCCCACCTGTTGGGCAGGAATGCTCTGGAAGAGGTTGGGGATTAAGGTGCTACTCAGTGGCAAAGGTTTGCCCTGAGTGTCCATCGCTACAAGACTGGAAAGCTGCTGCTGTAACTGCTGCTGAAGCTGCTGAGGTGTCAGCTGCAGCTGGTGAAATTGTAGAGCTTGCTGCTGCTGCTGCTGCTGTTGTAACTGTTGCTGCTGCTGTTGGCTGGAAAGTTGGGACACAGTTCGATGGCGATGGTGTTGATGGTGGCTGTGCTTTTGATTCAAGGTGGATTTCTGAAGGTTGTGAGAGCTGCCTTTGGGTGAGACTAGAGCAAGTTTACCTGAGTGATGCCAAACAAAAAGGGTCAAAATTGATAAATTTTGTGGTAATAAGGAAAATAATCTTTCCTACAATTTATAAGTGGGTTCCATCCAGAGATTACACTGTATGCACTTATGAATGATATGATCCAACACACCTTGGCGCTCCTGTGTTTACACTTCATTAACCAACAATGGAATCGAACAAATCACCCCAGAATGTTTGATTAAACATCAGTTGATTAGAGTAACTACACTTCAGTGCATAGTCACTGTACTTTAGCTACAAGTATACACTGGGATACTACTAATATTAAGTGACCAAAGAAGAACGAAAGTCAAGAACGAAACCGAATCCTCTCATTGTTTTATTACCATTTAACTTGTTCAACAGTAACATGCTTAACAACTTCCTTCCGGGTGGAGTTTGCACATAGGGGACACGTTGCCGGGTGACTTTTCATGATTTTCCATTTTTTAAATTTTTCAAAATTCATATCTTTATTTACTGGACGCTTACACCCACACGAATGACTGTCTGGTGGCTACTCTAATCTGACAGGCAAACCTCCATTGACGCCAGAGTATTACAGCCAGGACTACCACCTAGTAAAGAGAGCACACAGTGTGCAGTGTTGCGTAATTTCCTTTGTTCCCGAACGTGGCCCAGTGGGTTGCTGAATGGCGGGGGTGTCTTTACAAATGCAGCCAGATTAGGATGCAGTGATGTTGTATCGCTCATCGCTGAAGTGCTTTTGTGAGTTTTGTCCCCACTGATAATCCACGGGGGCTGAATGCAGCAAACAATGGTATACATGTACTGTTTCAAAACGATGACCGATTACCTCCATTAATGCCAGCACTCTGTGCTGACAACATATGAAAATTGATTTGCAATTTCTAGCAGCTCGGTCTTTTGTTCAGAGTTTGGTCTTTTATTACAAGGCCCAGTTCCTTTGTTTCAATTTCGGGCACCCCAACCACGCATATACAGCCAACAGCTCTAGTGCCGGGCTCCCCGACATGAAGTGGTTAAGGTAAGAGGAGACAATAAGTATCATATCTGAATTGCTTGACAGCTGTGGTTGGCCAGCACTCAACTATTTCTGGTCCAATTCTTCCAGACTCTTCAAGCCAAGGTTTGTCACATCCCTGGTTGTCCAAGAACCCAATGTACCACAAAAACAGTGTCTGTATTGTAGAATTAGTATAGCAATGCAACATACGGCATCACTCAAAATTTGTTCAAATTTGTCCTGAAGTTGCTCCTGAATTAAAGTGTAAGATATTACACAGGTGTTGCTATGGAATCAACACCAAACTTGCTCGAAGATAAGCAACATTTCATCTGGCAGGAAAAAGTTAAAACAACACAAAGAGGGAAGTCTTACCACTTGTATTAAATGAGCCCGCTAGTAGTTGGCCACTGACATTAGGGGATGTGTCTGCAGAACCCGGACTAGGGGAGGGTGTGCTTGTTCGGCTGGGACTCATCCCTCGTTGCACATGATTGGCTGACGCTGTTGTTGGGGTGGTTATAGAGGTGCTTGGATATGGCTTGAAAGTGATGTTGGTTGGTGAGGGAATGATGCCATTGGGGAGGGGTGAAGTGAGCTGAGGACTGGCTGAGTTCTGTTCAGAAAACAAAACGTACAACCATTAACCCTCCTATGTAAAGATGCATTCTTGACCTGTAAGTCAAAATCGGTCAAATGACCCCTATGTGTCTGTGTACTATGGCCTGTCAAGTGAAAGGAACTTTTGACTGTCTGTGACTGTCAAAGCAAAAGAAGGGTTAATCACATACATAGTTTGCGTGGCTACAACTCCATATTACATCTTGCATATTCATGAGCAATCATGCCTGTGTTATTAGACAACAATCAAATGCAATGGCAAAATATTAGTAACTTACTCTGGAAGCACACCTCCCATACTACCGGTAGCTTCCTCGTCGGTAGCAAATTTTGGCCAGTATGTAATCTCAGCAAGTATATTTCTAAGACTGTAGCCTTGCTATTGCTGAAGTTAAGTTAATCAGCAACCTGACCTATTATTCCAGTTGTGTACAAGGTACATGCATGCAAAGGACATGTAAACCTACAATAATTTTCTGTGACACAAATATCCTTCTAGGGGCTAAAAACCCAGCTGAACTCAACATACAACAGTTTAAATGAAAAGCCAGAAAAGTATTTCAAGATTGAGGCCAGCTATCCCCAAGGCTGTAGAATCTTGAGTCCTATCAACGAGTAAACCTGTTGGCCTTCGCAGTAACTGGCATATATTGTTAAACCAAAGTTTTAACAAAACATTAAACAAGTCTACACTGAAAGCTAAGGATCAACCGATGTAGGTTTTAACTGCCAATCCGATGTCTGATGTTTTAATCTCAACATCGGCCGATGTCCGATCCAATGTTTTAACCGACAATAACTGAAAACGCAACCTTAACAGGATGTGGGCCTGCTCATAACACAAAACCAGTGTACTCCCTTAAAATGTCAGTTTACACATTACTGGTAATAGGATCAAGGTTTTGCCATTACTGTTACTGAGTTGAGAGAATTGTGTACATGACATTAATGACGCTATAATGCACGCTACCGATAGTGCTCCATTGTTTTCAAACCTATGTACATGGTGCATACATGCTCCTTGGGTCTGCGGTCTGTGCGTTGAGTTGTTGCAGCACGGATCGTGCAGATGTAAGTTTTGGGGATACTTTACATGGGTTTAACCATGGTGCAACTGTTCATTTATCTCATCAAATAAAAAACACCGTTTTTATTCATGCTCAAAGAAAAATATGAGATTTGTGTTTGCCAAAACTGAGTGCAGTGTTTGTTCCCATCTTCAATTTAACATCAGCACCTATATCTGCAAAGGTCACATTTTGCTGATCCGATGTTTTGCTGCTGTTGCCTAACATCGGCCTGATCTGATGTCTGATCCAATCATCGGTTGATCCTTACTGAAAACATTCAAAACAACTCTACAGAAACTGCCTGTGGGCTACTGTTGGACTTAGCAGGATCCTTAATGTTTAAAAAAAAAGACCAATTCAGGAACTTGCTTACCGGTCTGAGTTGAGGACTGGGCACAGACTGTGGACTCTGAAGAGGCTGGCAAGTGTTGGCAGCGGTAACCCTCTCACTCACAGTTACTCCTGCTCCAACACCTATCACATCCTGTGTGGAGCTGTCAATGAAAGGCTGACTAACTATTGCTACATTCTGCAGACTGGCCGTGGTACTGCTGCCAGACAGTCGTCTCCCTTGTCTGTCCACTGTTGACTTACCCGAGCCTGCACTCTTTGTCCGAGATTTGACATTCAATTTCCCATCATAGGGTAGGGCTAGCGCACCCAGGTTCCCCAGTAACACTGGTGTATTTCCGATAGTTGCATTCAATATTGGAACAGTGAAGTTACCAGTGGTTTGCGGGGCTGCTGTATTACTGACTGCACCACCATTGACATTTGGTTCAATGTTTGTCACCACAAAGCGTAGGTTTTTGAGAAGGCTACTTGACAATTCTTGATTGGTGATAGAGCCGGGATCCAAGTTAACCATGCCACTGCTGAGAATGTCTCCTGGTTGTAGCCCACTGTTAGTCACAATGGAATAGCTACTGGAGCCTGTCGTTAGTGTCACTGGGCTAGCACTTGACCCTGAAAACAAATTCTGTGTGACACTGCCACTTACACCAACATTACTCTTCCCTCCAGTTGGCCCACTTTTCCTGCGGGCTTTTGAATTCTTGACAGGATGTTGGAGGGATGAAGACGTCTTGCCGTCAGCAGATTTACTCAGAGCTTTACCGCTGGTTTTTCCACTCGGTTTCTTGCTCGTGGTGAGCCCCTTGTTGAAATTGTTACACATGGTATTCGGCAAGCTCTTACTCTTACTGAGCGTGTTAGTTCCACTGCTGCTGCTGTTGCAAGTGGTAAGAGAGGTCCTACTCCCACTGGGAGTGTTGTCAAATGGTGAAGCACTTGAAAGAGAAAATGCACTTGTGGAGGCAGCAGAGCGGGCTGTGAAACTGTTGATTTGAAACTCAGAGGACGGAGGAGTTGTATCCATTGGGGCAGCAAGGTCTTGAGATGAGTCACTGGATAAGCACATTTTTCTAAAGCACGGTAAAAAGACAAAAATATTGTCAGCAAAGATTTTCTGTAGTAGATCTGTCTGATTTAATGGTCAAATAAAACCCTCCTCCTGTTAAAGCAGTCACAGACTGTAAAAAATGTGAACAACTTACTTGAGTGGAGGTGGTTTAGAGTGTTTCTCCACTAAGGCAGCCATGGTGGATCTCAGGTAATCTAGTCTCCGATTGAAGGCATACAGGCCCTTACCAACTTGCCTTGCACCAAAGGAACACATCTGTGACAAGAACGGAGAATAAGCAGATGACAGCCTCTTCACAAAAAAAACAACCCAAAAACCAGAGTTGGGCAATTCCATGCTGTTGGTCTCACAGCAGCAAAAGTGAACTTGAAAGTTTTTCATTGAAGCTTGAGAAAAGAGACTGCCTGTTTTGTTCATCAGCACTAAACTTACTGCAACTGGTCTGGGATGATGATGGGAGCAGGAGTAATCGGATTTCTCTTTCTCTCCATCCACTGTCTTCTCTTCCTCAGACGGCTTGGTGTGGCTGCTGTTGGTACTTCCAAGCCCTACTTCAGGTGCTTTAGTCTGTGCTGAAGCTGCCTCCAAGGGGAAGGACTCCAGTGGTGTCAGCAAAGGGTTTTTTCTACTTTAACAAAAAATGTATATGAATGAAAAAGACATACAAGTGAAAACAGACCATGTCATAGGTCTGTTGCATAGCATTAGACTGATTTTACCATGCCAGAGTTATGCCACTGGCTTCTGCTTATTTATCTTGGGCAGTGATTTGATGGCACATATTCACCATGGATGGGACATCAAGCCATACGTTAAGTAATAAAGTTTTTTTTTTTGACTCAACGTTTATTTCTGTTTTGCAATGTATATAAAAAGTTAAACACAAGATCAATAAATGAAAGATTTTTGACTACAAGAGTGAAAGCTAAATACCCCTGAGAAACTGAAATAAAAGGGGGCAAATATGGAGGCTCTGACATCCATCAAAAAATTCAACACCAACTGGGGGTGGATTCATGTAAACTAGGGTGAAAAGAAGCTAAAGTTGAAACAGTTTTCACGATTGAAAATGCAGGATAGCTAGATGTGCATACCTTGTATCTGAATATGCTTTAGCTTAGAGTGGAAATACTATATAACATTCAGGCAGTTGTTTCGTGTGAATATCTTACTTGGCCGGAAGAACTGAGTTGAGGTTGTAGGTTTTTGTAGGACTTGGGACAGGCATTATCTTCTGGAACACAGTAAGTGGTTTGCTGCTGGCTTCTGATTTTACTTGCAGATTACCAACGGCCTGTGGCCGAGGACTTAAGACCTTGGGTGTCAGTGCTTTGGGTGTGTTAGGGCGTGTCTGTGTAGCCTTGGGTGTGCTGGGTCGAGTGACGCCTTGGGGTGTGGTTGAACTGTGTGCTGACCCACTGGACGCTGAGGACGGCACTTGTTGGAGAGATGTTGATTTCTTCAGTAGAGACGGATTGTTAGCAGCTGCCAGGGCCTGAGATCGAGCTTTGTGTTCAGCGAGAAGTTCATCGAAGGGTTTCCGTCTTCCTTTGACTGCTCTCCGTAGTGATAAGGCATGAGTCTGTACAAGGAATGTATTTAATTCATGGAAAGATATGAAGTTGGTTCTTATAAAATTTCTGATGACCCTAGTTTGTATGCATACATCACTGACACCTTTTCTACATCCGAACACCATTCACTCCAGAAACACATTTTAAGTTTATGCATCAGAAGAATTTTTCTCCAAAAAGATAAACCTACACCCACATCACAAGGCTACACCTAAATTACCTGCAATGAATTCTAAGAAATCTACCAGGCTGCTAATCTTGCCAATGGACACTTTTCACTTCAGTCTCTTACCAAACATTTCTTCATTTTGATGCAAGCCTTGGCAGTTTTAGAACATGAATTGAATGAGTATGTCTTCAATGAGACAATAAATGTACTTGTGATGAAAAATAAAGTTTACATAATGCGAAGAAATCTTTAAAAAATACAAGTACATCATTTACACCTCCAAATGGCCTCAGTGTGAATTGGAGTAAACTCCAGGGTTGTAACGAAAAAATTTATGACTTGAGTCGAGTCGGTGTAACATAGTGACTCCAGTCGAGTCACTGACTCCAGTCATTAGCTTTACAACTCTGTAAACTCCAATGGTTAACCTTTTATTTCAAAATTTTGCTTAACTTGAACAGTCATTTTAAAATCCAGACTAAAACCCTGATGGATAAATCTTTACCTTGCAGGTAAGAGACCTTGTACATTGTCTCTGATCAGCATCTACCCAAACACCACAATGCTTATTCACGTCAAATTCACGATCTGAAAGAAAATGGTATTTCGTCAATGGGGAACCTTACCGTTTGAAACAAATGATTAATTTAAAAAGCTGTGTAAGTATCAAATATGACAATTACACTGCAGGACGTCTATTTTGTAAGTGGTCATGAAGGTTAATAGCCTCTGATAACATACTTGGACAAGTTGTCCAAATTTTCCTCTCCATCAACTATTATAAAAGTATTCAGGGTGAACATTTCTTTACCCCTTTTCTGACAGCTCTGACCTTGCTACGACTTTTGGAGGGTTTAATTCAGGTTAGGGATCTTGTCAAAAACTCCACAAACTGTAAGCCGATTTACATGGAAAGCCATCCATTGCTAAGGGCCAAGCAGTTCGCATACTCCGTGGCCGTATTCGTCCATGCGTAGTCAAGTTAATTAGGCTAGCGCGGTTGGCCCTCTATTGTCATTATAATGCTTTACTGAATAATTCATGATGAGTTGCAGGTTGTATTGTAATAATGCAACGTCTGTGAACAAGCTCTATCCAGGTAAATTCCCGCAGAATAAATGAAAATGATTCGTGAGCGCATTTGACATGCAGTGTTTGCAATGTACGGTGTAAAAATAATCCACTAAAATATTTGGGAACAGCCTCGAGCTGCAAAAAATGTAAAAAATTAAGTCCTCAACAGATCGTTTTGATATTTAAACAGTTTTATTCTGTATGTTTTTTTCGTTCGTTCCTAGAATTTCGTTGCTAAATTCTAAGTGGTTTTGGTTTTATGGTAAAACTTTTGCGTTCGTATTTCCGAACAGTCTGGAAGGTCAGGACACGCCGGCATCATTCTCCGCAGCTCTTCGCACGAACTCGTTTTCGGGACAGAATTTTCCGAAAATGATCCGGGCACTCTGATTGGTTTAACTGTCTTTGTGGCATTTTCCGAATAGATCCAAAGGTTCCCTTCACCAGTGTTCCATGACGATCCGTTCACAGACGGCAAAGTTACATTTTGAAAAGTACAACGTAGTTTTTCGAGATTAAAATGCCCGTTCTTTGTCAGAGAAGTACGTGCAAATCTTTAATCTTTCATTGTTATTTTCATTTAGATTGCAAAGTTTTATGATGTGAAACGGCCCATGGAAAGCGAAATGAAAAGGACAGGTTTGGGCGATTTGCCGAGTGTGGTTGCACGGGGTGCATGGAGATGCCTTGTGGCATGCATGGTGCTCTCTTGTATGTACGAGTCTGCGTTCATGTACATGTACATACAGAGTATGCATAGCAGTTAGCCCTGTATACACAGCCTGCCTGTCTGTCATGAGTCGCGCAGCACGATGCTGCCTCCTGGTACCAGAAATTCGCCCTTTTAGAAGTCCCATTCAGTGAGTTGATAATGTGAGGATTCTAAAGAGGGAAATCTGATAATGGTGAAATTGAAAGACGGAAATCTGGGAAAGATATCATTTCATTGTGTTAACCACCACC